TCCCTCCTTCCCTCCGTCCCTCCTTCCCTCCGTCCCTCCTTCCCTCCGTCCCTCCTTCCCTCCGTCCCTCCTTCCCTCCGTCCCTCCTTCCCTCCGTCCCTCCTTCCCTCCGTCCCTCCTTCCCTCCGTCCCTCCGTCCCTCCGTCCCTCCGTCCCTCCGTCCCTCCGTCCCTCCGTCCCTCCGTCCCTCCTTCCCTCCGTCCCTCCCATGTGTTAGCTGTTGTCTCTGCATTCATTCTTCTAGGTCTTGTGCTGTTTGGAAATGAATGTATTGACTAAATAAACAAATTGCCAACTGTGCAAAGAAGATGTTCAAGAAATTGCTGGAGAAGTCTACACTATTTTTTTTTTCCTATTAACCCACCAGCGGTTTGCAGGCTTTTTTTTTTTCCCCCAGTATGTCACTATCCCAATGATAACCTAATCTCTCTGCTGAGATTCCGTAGCCAAAGCTCCCATGTTCCAAATGCAATATCTGTAGCAACTGCTTTGTACCTAATGCTAGCCTGTGTATACTGCTGTGCCACAAAGAACAAAGCCCTGATACACAGGGCTCTACATATTGTGCCTTGCATAATCAATCTATGATATTTTTTAGTAACAGTATTTTCCTTTTCTCTAACTCATTCTATAATTTCACTTAGCAATATTGTTATTTTGGGATGGATATGAACACAAACTGTGGTCATATTTCACTTCCAGCTCTAGAGCTTAGGTGAGGCTTGTGTAAGTTTTAAAAAATGACATGAGCTCTTGTTTCTTTTTTTTAATGAAAATGAACCTTTTGGCTTTTGAAAGAAACTTTGATTCCTAAGCTGTGTAGCAAAGTCCAACTGAATTCTACTTGTTCTTATTTCATCTTGTGTAGAAGAGTGTCAAATATTTGAATTCAGAAATGAAACATTTCCTTCTTAATAATAATTCATTTTTAATTCTTTTTGTGCTGCTGGAGTCAGCACCTCATAATATGTCCCATTTGTCCTTCCTGCAAATAGAGCATATGCAACAGACTTCAAAAATAAATATTACTGCTAAACACTTCTTTTTATTGTTGCCAATACAGTTATGTAACTTTCTGCATGAAACTTGTTGATATGCTCCTGTCATTTGGAATTAAGCCAATTTTGGTGTTTGATGGATGCACCCTACCTTCTAAAAAGGAAGTGGAAAAGGCCCGTAGAGAGTAAGTACTGAAATGTATTAATTTGCAAGGCAGCGTGTTTAACACCTCAACTCAATTTCAAAATGTTGAAAAACTCAAAGCTTCAGTGAGGCAATAATCTTTGTTAAACTTTCTTACAATGTACTGCTGTGTTATTTCATTTACATTTAAATCATTCAGACTGTTCTTAGAGGTTTTATTCCAAAAATAGAACAGTACTTCTCAAATGAAAGGAAGAGGAAGGAAGTAAAGCTCTGAGCATTAGTTCCTGTAATGTGTAGAGTTAAAGGTTTTCAGCTGACATGTCCTCATGATCCTCTTCTTTCTCTGAGCTCTTGTGTCTTTTCTGGACACAAAGAATATTTCTTCTCATTATAGTTAATTTAACACCATCTCCTTTGGTATAGGACTCATTTACAATGGGACATCTCATGAAGCTGTCTGCTGATTTTTTTATTAAAGTGGTTTTTATTTATAAATCTCATGAGACATGTCTTCTTCAGTCAGAACAATTTCTGATATTTAAAATGAGGTAAATAATGCCTTTTTACCCCCAAGCTAATATTTGATGTCAAATGCTCCTAGATTAATTTAAATCTCTTTTCCTCTATCCTGAGAATACACATCTCTTTTTTTCATTGCTGATTTCTTTTCCTGAATTGTCATTCTTTTCTGATTATCTATTTCAACATGCCCGTCCAAGCCTTTTTCTGGATTTACAGTTATTCTTATATTTGGAGTATTAGGCAGTAGTAGAACAAGTTTGTGAAGCGTTTGAAGTGCTCGCTGGTTAAACGCTTTCTTTTCTTTATTTTTGTTAATCCCGCAGGAAGCGTCAAGCCAATCTTCTGAAGGGGAAACAGCTACTTCGTGAGGGAAAACTGTCAGAAGCTAGGGAATGTTTTGGGCGCAGTGTCAATGTTACCCATGATATGGCTCGTGAAGTTATTAAAGTAAGTTGCTAATATTCAGATCGACAGTTTTAAGAAAATATGCAGTAAGTAGTATTCCTTTCTTTACTCCTTGAAAAAGTAGCATTGGCTCCACTTGCTTAGCTTAAAAATGTATTGCTTACCATGAATTATGTTAAGCATGGTTCACTAAAGTCAACTTTTCTACAGATTTGTTATGCCCAATTGTGTAAATGATGATCACTTGCCAAATAAAACCATAAACTCACTTTTTTAATATCATCTGGGGTTTTGCTTTTACCCCATGAAAAATAAAATGCAGCACCTTCTTTTCCATAAGGTGGTTCCTGAGAATAGACTGTAAAAAGATTACTGGCTGCTTAAAAGTTCTTCCAGCAGCTCTTCCCTATCCTTCTGCTGCTGTCATAGGGTCTCTGAAAATACAAAATTACATTTGTTTCAGTGTGATTTTCTTTGTTCAGCGTATAACTGACAGGATTCTGAAGCTGGCAATTGTAGTCAGATGCAGTGTCTATAGATTTAGACTAGCACAGAAAAGGTGTTTTTTTGTAAGCAAATATTTGTAGATTTACACTGCTACAAACTTTTGGCCATGAATATGAAGTTGTTTAAGGGGAGCCTTATTAACCTTTTTGATAAACTCTGTGCTTTTCACCACAAAATTAAGTTGAACTGTTTTGAGGTAGAAGTTCTTTCCACATGTCTTAAGATAACAGTTTTTTAAAAAATAATGTTTTTATGCTTCTTGGTCATATGCAGGCTGCACGAGCCCAAGGAATTGATTGTATTGTTGCTCCTTACGAAGCTGATGCTCAGTTGGCTTATCTTAATAAGACTGGCATGGTTCAAGCCATAATTACAGAAGATTCTGATCTTTTAGCTTTTGGATGTAAAAAGGTATGGAAAAAAATACAAATGTCCCCTACCTCCTATTGATATCTTAAAAGCAGATTTCACAGTTGCTAAATGCTTTGTCATAGATGGATTTACTCTTTTCCAATAAATAAGGAAAATGGGGAAGAGTGACAGCCTCTGTGAAGCAGCCTCTGCAAAGTGCAGCAAATTAACGTGCATAAATGAAAAAAGGAGTTTTAAGTGTGGGTGAAAATGATCTTTTTTACTTTTTTCCAGGTGTTTCTGAAAATTGACAAGTTTGGGAATGGACTAGAAATAGATCAATCTCGACTAGGAAACTGCAAGCAGCTTGGAAATGTGTTTACAGAAGAGAAATTCCGCTACATGTGCATTCTCTCTGGCTGTGACTACCTCCCATCAATTCATGGAATTGGGTTAGCTAAAGCATGCAAGTTACTCAAGCTAGCTAACAACCCAGATATTATAAAGGTAATCTTCATTCAGCCTGGTGTATTGCCTTTTTAGGAGCGTCTATCTATTTTTCTATGTGACATTAACATTTTATTTGAAAACATCTGAACAATTTTTAGCATCTCCTTGAAGCGGGGAAAACGTTTTTTTTTTTTTTAAAAAAAATTACTGTGCTTGAGAAAGTTGCTGAGCTAAACTTATCCACATGTTGAAGTTGTTATATGCTTAATAAAATATACTGAAGTAGGTAAGCAATTAACCCTTCAAGAGTCTATTCTGTTCAATAAGTTCAGTTAAAATCCATGAAAGTAAAAAGAAAAACTTTTTTTTCATTCTACCCATGTTTTTAGCTAACTTTAAGCAAAGCTCCAAGATTGCATTATTTGAAAAGATTATCACTTAGTAATTGTCATGTGATTCATCTCTGCTATGCAAGCGTTAGAAAGTCATGAGTCAAAAAGTAAAAACTAGTCCAACAGTGCCAGTCAGAATTTCTACTTCTGAGAGAAGTAAATTGACTTGGAGGTAGGGCACATTGCTGAAATACAACTGATCTTTTAGCAACTAGTGCCTTATTTTGAGAAGAGGGCACACTGTGTCCCGCAGTATAACAGGCTTATTCATCAAAAGCAGATGCTCCTTATTTCTATTCAGATTTTGTATTTATTTGTTGTGCAAAAACTCCATGTGAATAGTTGAATTATACTACTGATGTGATATTAAACAATTTGAAGGTGGGAAAATAATGCACAGGACTTCTCTTCCCTTTCTACTTTCTCTGCCCCTGACAGGATGCACATTCTGCATCATATGACAAATGGTTAAGATTTATGACAAAAATGCTTAAGAATTAAACAAAAAAGTCAAGTTTTTATGTTGCTTTTCTGGAAATGCTGTTGTGTATTCCTACTCTTCTGTATATTCTGCTAAAAGCAAATTTTGTATGATTAAAAATCTGAAGATTTTGGAGTGAGGCTTCTGAAGACAGGCGAAGTATTGTTTTTTATCTGTTTACATGCAACAATTACAGCAATTAAGTGTATCTTTTGTCCTTGAACAGGTTATTAAGAAAATGGGTCAGTACTTGAAGATGAATATAACAGTATCAGAAGAATACATAAAAGGTTTTACACGAGCTAATAATACGTTCCTTTATCAGTTGGTTTTTGATCCAATCAACAGAAAACTAGTTCCTCTGAATGCCTATGATGATGATATTGATCCAGAAACACTAATTTATGCAGGACGGTATCCTTTCTGTATTAAAATAATAGGGGAAAATATGGGTGAGCAGCTGTAGTGCTTTACCCTGTTCATCTCTGGTTAAAATTTGGCTTTCCTGCAGACTAGAAAGTCCTTTCCAATTCATTTTAAAAAAGGTAGGTGGAACAGAATAATACAAAAGAACTACCACTTAAGTAGAAATACTTATTTATTTTTAGAAAACAACCTTTCAAGTGCAGGTTATATAACTACCGAATTATTTTAAAACTTCTTTTAAAATTTATGGCTACATCGTATATGTCGTGATCTCAGCCAGTTCGATTCTTACAGTTGACGCTCAGCTCATTGCTTAACCTAAGCACTCCCTGTTTGTTTGTTTGTTTGTTTTTTGTTTTTTTACCAGAATGTTTTCCAGTAGAACACGTAATATTCTCACATGTTTGTGTAGCCTTATATCAGCATGGAAGACAAGCAAAATGAAGAGAGAGAGAGGACTATTGAAATAGACACTTGTCTCTATGTTTATCAAGCTATGGCATTTTCACAAGCTAG